CCAGGTCCACTCTGAGCCTCAGCAAAGGCGCCAAGATAATCAGAAGCCAGGGACAGACCAAGGGCCCAGGACAACTGCCCCAGACAAAAGGAAAATCAGAATTCTATTACAGAGACACTGAAAACAGTTAATGTCATTTAAGAACAGCTTGTACCTACCTAAATGATTCTCTGTGAAATAAACCAGTCACAAAAAGACAGATACCATATGATTCCACTTATACAAAGTACTTAGAATAGTCAAAATCACAGAGATTGAAAGCAGAGCGGTGGTTCCCGGGCGCTGGGGGAGGGGAAATGGGAGTTGTCCTCTGATGGGTACGGAGTTTGTTCTGCGACATGAAAACTAGTCTGGAGATTGGTCGCACAACAATGTGAACGTACTTAACACTACTGGGCTGTACACTTACAAATGGCTAAAATGGTAAGTTCGATGTCTTGTGTTTTTTATGACAATCAAAATTAGAAAGAAAAAGAAATCGGATAGTGTCAAGGCGAAAACAGATTTCATAAATGTTTTAGATTCCCAATTATTTTTTTTTTGTTGCTAGTTTAATAGTGGGTTTATTTTATATTCATATTTATAGAAAGCGCATAAGTTGGGTTGTGTGGCAGATTTTTACCTTCACTCTTTTCTCATCTAAGACCCTAGTCTCAATTTCAAGCCAGACCCCTCACCTGGTGGCAGCCACCTAATGGGGCGTCGCGGGGCACGGTTCTCCAGCAGTTGTGCTGACTTTGAAGGTGAAAGAGAAGGAAGAGGCAAGGGTGGCCCAGGTTTCTGGGCTGAGTGAGGGAGAGTCATTCACGGGGGGAGGGCTGGGGAAGGGAGGGGGCCTAGGAAGCCGTACTTGCTGAGTGTCTAGTTTGTGCCGGGCTCTGTGCTCAGCATTGTGCAACCCTACTTCACTTAACCCTCGCCACGGCCGGAGTGGCTTGTGTCCGGGCCTCGCTCCTCCGAAAACGAAGCGGGGCGCCTGGGTGGCTCAGTCGGTTGAGCGTCTGCCTTCAGCTCGGGTCATGATCTCAGGGTCCTGGGATCGAGCCCCACGTCGGGCTCCCTGCTCTTCTGGGAAGCCTGCTTCTCCCTCTCCTCCCCCTTTGTGCTCTCTCTCGCTATCTCTGTCACTATCTGTCTCCCTCAAATAAATAAATACAATCTTAAAAAAAGAAAGAAAGAAAGAAAACGCATCAGAGCCTCCAGGGACTTTGGCAGCCCCCTCAAGGTCACCCAGCTAGTAAGTGGTAAGAGCCTTGGAGCCAGGTTGTCCTTTCAACTATGCCAGTCGAGGACACGATGAGGTTGGAGATCAGCACAGGTACAGAGGATCGGGAGGCCACGGTGAGCATGCTTCTGACGCTCGGAGGGAGACCCTGCCTGCAGGTGAGGGGGCTGAGACGCAGGGACAGGGCGGACACTGTGAAGAGATGAGCTTTCTGGGAGGGCTCCCGCTCGGAGGAGGGAGCCCCGAGGAAGCCTCACCGAGGGTGACTCAACGAAGGGGCCTGAGAAGGAGCATTCAGAGACAGGAGGAACGTCAGGAGAGGAAACAAAGGAGGAGAAGATTCGAAAGGACGGCAACGCCATCCCTGTCACCTGTCACATGAATGTCAGGGATGAGGCCAGAGAAGCAGCGGCTGCTTTGGCAATAACTCTGGCAGGCCCTGTCCTCTTTCCCTGATAACTGTCCCCAGACTTGCCAACTCCCAGCACAGCTCCTGTGTCGCGTGTGGGCTCTCGGTGCAGCGAATGGACGCGCCCCGGGAGGGCAGGGGCTACTGTGTGATTCTGGGTCCCCGGCACCTAGCACAATGCCCCCGCACAAAGTGAGTGCTCGATAATTACTTGTTGAAGGCCTGGCTGAAGCCAGCCCTGTGCCCTCCCTCCACCGGCAGGAAGTGCGCCCCCTCCCCTCCCCCCACTCAGTGGAGTGAGCCCCCCCCCTCCCCAGGCTCTCTGCAGCACCAGGTGATTAGCGGGCAGAACTGCCTCGGCAGCATTGCAGAGTCTCAAAGGCTGCGTCTGACCTTGAGCCACCTTCCATTCTGCTTGGCTAAGCACTGAGTCATTTACTTGTTTTTGCTGCCTTTCAACCCTAGAGCAGTGGGTTTAGCACAAAGGAAGACATGAGGGTTGTTTTATTTGTGGGGAATCGATTTCCCTTAAATAAGAATTTAGCTGGTAGTCTGCACTGCACAGTGGGATGGTGTGGGGGGGGAAGCTGCGGGGCGGGGGGTGGAACACGGTGGGGGCTTCTTGAGTCAATGCCCAGGAAACAATGAGCCTTTGGAAACAATGTTTTTCCCACAAACAGGGACTGCCGGACAACCAGCAGGGCCTGGAAGTCAGGAGACTGGGTTAGTCCCAACTGGGGCACCGGCTGGCCATGGGGCCTTGGGCAAGTCACTCAACATGCTGTCACTTACCATTTACTCTTTCTGGGCAGCTCTCCTCACCTGCAAGATGTAGAGATGACCTCAACTCCCTCCAGTGCCCGAATGGCACCCATTCTACCACGGGTGGCTGAGTGCTGCCACGGTGCGTGGCGGTGGGGGACACCTCCAAGCAGAGACAGCCTCCTGGACCCATGACAGCCTCCCAGAGCATTTGTCCCTGGAGTGGGGCCCAGTAGCGCCCTGCAGTGGCACCTCCATCAGTATCCCTCTTGTTCCAGCCCTTGTGACACTGGCTGAGAAGCAGCTAAGACTGAGGTCCAGAGCATCGGCTTGGGGGTTCCACACATCTGAGTGCGTCTTCCTCCACCGGGTGCCTGACTACGAGCAAGCCACTAAATCACTCTGAGCCTCCACCTCACCTGTCCCATGGGAGCCTTCTTACCTAAGGGGGCCTTGTGGTGATCACAGGAGATAACTACAAAGAAAGTGCTCTGTGCAGGGCCTGACACAGAATGAGAGCACACTAAATGTTAGCTATTATAATAGTAAATACTATTTGTGGCTCAGATCCGTACATCAGGAATACCTCCAAAAACAAATTAGAGATTATAAAGACCCTAGAGATTTTCCCAAGGCCCTGGTTGTAGATATGAGGAAACAGATCTGTGGGGAGAGAAAAGACTCACCCTAAGATCCACAGGCAGAAATGGGACCATGAGTCCTGATTCCTCTATGGGGTGGATCATTGCGTTCTCTCCTCAGCTCCTATGAGGGCCCTGCTGGGGCAGATGCCAACCCGTGGCACCCTCAAGCGGTGGGAACTCTGATGCCTGATTCACCACGGTTCCTGCCCCCCAACACGGCCCTCCCTGGAAAAGAAGTGTTACCCAGGGGGCTTGGTCCACAGCAGGCATTCAGTAGAGCCCTAGGCAGGATTTGACCCAGGCCACCTACCCCTTCGAGGCCTGTTTCCTTAAATGGGAAAACATGGTCTTTTGGAGCCTCGAAGTCCTGACATGCCACGGTTTCAAGAACTGGTCTTAATTAACCACAAGCACATGGCTGGAAAGTTCAGCTAGCCGGAACCTTCCCCAGAAGTACCTTCCTTGGGAGCGGAGCCCAAGAAAGCCTAGTCACCGACTGCCCTAGCACAGGTCTTCCCAGCTTATGGCCCACTAGGGTCCACGCTGTCTTACTGGCTGCGTCCCTGCTCTACAGACAAGCAGCCCGAGACTTGCCCAGTCAGCACCAGGGCTCAGAATGAAGAAGGATCTAGAATAGTGTTGTGCACGGAGCATGCACTCCATAACCACCCACCAACATGAAACACAAGCCCACACAAAGTGGTTTTGCCAAGGAGGGAGCCCTGGACCGGGAGCCTGGAGGCCAGGGACTGAGCCCACGCTCTCCCCTGTCTCTCACTGGTTGGGCCTCCTGCTCTGGCTGTAAAAGGTGGTCATTGGATGGCGGGGCCCCCTCCCTGCTGAGACCTCGCAGCTCCCCGCCCTCCTCAGGGCACCCAGCAGGCTGGGCTGGGGTCTGTGTACGGTCTGCCCGCCTTCCCTAGAAGAAAGCGACTCTGCCATTATTCGTCACCCTATCTTCCCAAGCCCACCCCAGACCTAAGCAGAATAGGTTTCTGGAAAAAGGCGGGAGGGAGGGAGGATGGGAGGAAGGGGTCTGAAGTCCCTCCGGAACTAACATTCCACATGTCCACAAAGCTAGGTTCTAAGGCAAGTCACCGCAAGTGTCTATTAGGTAGGACCTCGCTGATGGTGAAAACACCACAGGGGAAGGAAAGGCAATGAACTTCAGAGGTAAAACGCCATGTTAACCCCTTTCGGCCCAGGCCCAGTTAACTTCCCAAAGCACAGGCCTGTGGGTCCGTGTGTGTGAAGGCCGCCAGGCTGTGGGATGTGGGGAGTCTGCCTTCCCCGTGGGACCCTCAGTGATGCTGGTGTCGGAGGCCATGACGCACTTCCATCTGCAGAGTTCATCAGTTATATGTCAGTGCTTTCCAGCCCAGAGCCTACAGTTCCAGTGCAGGAACACAATGTAGCAGGATTCCGAAGGATTCAGGAACAGAGAGGGGATCTTATAAATAACTCCTGGTTAAAACAGAGCTGAAAATAAGGACACAGGAGAGGAAACAGATTGCGAAGCGCAGGTTGAGTCAATACCATTGGCTTGAAAACCTTCGTGCAAATGGCTGGTCCTTCTCATCGGAAGATCACACACAGGATTGGACCTGGAGGCGCCAAGACCGTGTGTGTGCCTGAGGATGTGGGTGAAAGCGCGAGGCTCCCATCACACGGTGTCGAGATGAAGATGCTAAGACACGGGGCTTGCGGTAAATCTCACGGCGTCACTTAAGGGACTCAAATCAGTTGGAGTGACCGTGGTTAAGACCCTGGACCTCCCTGAGCCACTCTGTCTTCACAGGAGGGTCTGGCTGCTGGGTTGATCTGTAAGCTCTGAGATTCTAGATAGCAATTCACAGCTGGGGCCGCGGTATAAAACCCTGGAAGCCAAAAGTCGGAATTAAATCTTGACCGTGCTCACAGGTCCGGTCTCCCTCGTTTCCGTTCTGGAGGGCCTTCCTTTAGCTGCGGCAAGGCCACTACAGTGTGTGCCCTCCCCAGTGCTAAAATTGAGTGCAAATGTGCTTTGTTCACTTGCAATCCCTCAAGGCCCCTGATCTTGGGGCGTGGCTCAGCATCATGCTACCCGTGGGCAGGGCGGGGATACGGGGCGCCCCCGCGGAGGCCAGGGAGCCTTAGCACACAGCCGGCTCCGCCCCGGGGGGCCCCCACTCCTGCCTCCTGGCCCACACCACCCACGCAGGAAGCTGAACGCCCGAGGTAGTGACAGCCTGAACGCCAGCCACCCCCCGCCCCCGCCCCGCCCAGCGCAAGAGGGAGAGGAGGAGTGGGGTCCTGCTCGCCGCGGGGGCCGGCCAGCCCGCGCCACCCTCAGCAGCAGTTGCAGGCGCCCGTGTGCACGCGCAGGATGCCCCGGCTGTGCAGGTGCAGGAAGTTGAATATCTCGGAGGGCATGGCGTGGAAGCCGGGGCGGGGCTTGACGTTGTCATAGTAGTGGTGGGTGATGTAGAGGCCCGAGGGATTCATGGGGAAGGCCCAGAAGCCGAACAGGTGCACCTCCTCGCAGAGCTCGAGCGCCGCCGTGGCCAGGATGAGGCCTGTGCTGATGCGCTTGGCGCGCACCCCCAGGCTGAGCCAGTAACGCGACACGTTGACCAGGTACTGCGGGTGGAAGTAGTACACGGCCTGCGGCGACTCGAAGTCATCCAGCACGTACTTGACGCGGATGGACACGTCGGTGTTGCGCGTGTTGTAGAAGGCGGGCAGCAGCACCGACGCGTTCTCGTACACCTGCAGCACCCGGTAGAAGGGCCGCCGCCACTTCTCCAACTTGTGGAACCTGGGCGGGGCCAGAGCAAGACGGTCGGCAGCCCACTCCCCAGGCCATGTGCCCCCCGGAGCCACCTGCCGCGCCCACCCGCCACCCCGCGGCCTCTTCGGAGCACGCAGGGCACTCCAGGCCACCCTGCTGCTCCCTTTCATTTCCTTCGCCTCCGAAGATGAATGCCCTGCCTTTCTCGGGGACGGCTATATTTGTGTAAGTGGGCCCAAAGGGACAACAGTTTAGGGACTGCCGTGCTTCACCCCAAGGGATGAGGGCATCCCAGGGTGGACTCGGTGGGGCAGGGGTGAGGAAGTGGCGGCTCTCCCTGGAGTCCTCAGGCCATTCACCTGTGCTTTCTCTCCCAAGGTCCCCAGTGAAGTTCACCAAACGAGTCCGCCTGTCCTCTCGGCCGCTCCTCCCTCCCCCACAGTCCCCCCCTGCCCTTCCTCCTCACATTAAAGGGTCCTCCCGTGGGCTCATCTCCCTCCTCTCCCCTAATCCTTCACTGCGCTGACTCTGTAAGTGTCCTTGGGCACCTCACCTGATTTACCAACTCCCCACCCTCTGGTCTCTGGCTGTCCCCCGTCTTGCCCCTAGCCTGACCTGGATGGTGTGACTGTGCCCCTGGCTGGAGTTTTAACCCCTGAACCCCCTTCCCTGAGGCCTCCCACATGGACAGACCCCAGGAGGGGCACTCAGTGGGGACTGAGATCTTTGTGTGAGGCTTCTCCCCAGAGCCGCCTGGACACAGCAGCATAGGAAGCTGCCTGCCCCCATCACACGCTGGAAAGCTTTATGGCCCATCTAGGTGAAGACTGTCCCGACCAGTGCTGTCCAAGGGAACTATCATGTAGGCCACATATGTAATTTTCAATGTCCTAATGATCACATTTAGATAAGCAGAAAGACATGGGTGAAATTTATTTTTATATTCTATTGAATGCTCACAATGTTTTATTTAACTTGATATACCCAAAATACTACTACTTCAACATGTAATCAACATAAACAATTGATGAGCTGTGGCCCACCGTCTTTTTCATGGTAAGTCTTTGGAATCAGGTGTGTGTCTCCCGCTACAGACAGCACCTGTCAATCTGGATGCCGCACTCCCCATGGCCGGTAGCCACGTGTGGCAGTCAGGGCTGCTCTCCTGGACAGCATGAGTCTGGGGGAGGCTCACTGACCTCTCTGTGATGATGCTGGGGTTCACAGTGACCACATCTGTCTTCACGCCCACATCCATGGTGTACTTCTCTGAGATGGGGGGTAGGTTGCACCTGCAGAAGACACAAGGCAGCCTGGCTGCATGTACTCACTCATTCCAGAGGGAGCTGGAGAGTGGGCAGCGCGAGGGTGTGGGGAAGCCAAGACGGTGCTCACACGCAGAAGGGTGCCGAGGCAGCCAGCGGGGTGGAACCTTGGTAGCCTGTGCACAGAGGGGCAAGTTCAACTCCTTCCCTCTCCCACACTGAGTGGCACAGTGATTATGGATCCATGACCCATGAGACCCCACTACAGCCTCAGCCCCAATCCCTTTGCTTTAAGCTTTTATTTTCAACCCATTTTCTTGATCCAGGCTAAAGACTGTAAGCGAGGATCACCAAAGAGATAAGAGGGGGCTCTATCTAAGGAAGAAGAAATACAAGGGCCAGTCTCCAGCCTAAAGCCAGGGCAAAGCCAACACTGGTGTCAGCCACAAGGTTGCCCTGGTTCCAAACACTGCTTCTGGAAGAGAACTCAACCACGGAGGAGGCCGCAACCTCCCATTCCGCAGATGTGGAGACTTGAGGCCCTGACAGGTTTGGCCATTGGCCCCAAGGGAAAAAGGGAAGGAACAAGCCAGAGTGTAAAGGTGTGCAGGGGTGAGGAGTGGGGACTGGTCACCTGGAGGACAGCATTAGGGCACAGGGCATTAGGGCATGGGGCTGGGGCGCCCCCGGAGGGAAGGGCAGGGAACGGGAGGGCTGTGGGGGGTAGAAGCAGCAGGTGCAGGGCCAGGGCCGTTCTTTTACCGGAAGACAAAGTCGGCACTGTTGATCTCCCTCCCACAGCGGCTGTTCTTTAGGATGCCTCCGTTGCCCACCACTGCACACTTCTTAAACTGGGACCGGTAGTAGGGCATGTCCTGGGGGAGACGGGCACACAGCTGTCAGGGGCAACGCCCTCCCTGCCTTCTTCCGCTGCCCTCACCCCTGTACCGACGGCCACCTCTCCGAGCCAGCCTGGCAGGGACTGTGGGGGGAAAGTGGTTATTCCACCTTGCAGATGAGAAGAGCGGTCAGGAGACTTGTTCTCAGTCCCCCTGGCAATTACGAAAGCTGGAAGAGAAGCCGGGTCTCCTCAGCCTTTTTCAACAAGCCCTGGGATGCCTCAGGTTTCCTGAAAGAAGGGAGTACAGGTGATGGCCAGTCCTGCTTGCTTTTGGTTTTCCCAATGTTTGGAAGCTCATCTTCTTTATGACTTCCAGGAGGCATAGGCTACTGGTTCGTGCAGATGTGCTGGGGGGTGACAGCAGCAGAGATGGGGACAGGGCCCTAAACCTGGCCCTCCCCCCTTTCAGCTCAGGGCAAGGTACACAGGGAGGACGTAGGCCTGGGACACCAAGGTCATACGGCCTGGAACAGATGCTGGGACTTGGAAGCAGCAGAACAAGAGACCAAGGGTTGAGAAGCAAGGCCACCACAGGGGAGCAGGGCGAGCCTGAAACACCTCAGGTCTCTGCAGAGGAAGGGCTCGGAGTCCAGGAGAGCCTGGGTCTCACCCCCCAGCGACAGTGGCCCTTGCAGGAGCCCTGGGCGTGACCACCTCACAGCACTTTGACCTTGTCACACCCTGACTGCTGGGCTTACATTGGTCTGGGCGCCGGCTGCCCACAAAGGTTCCCTGGCCATGCCCTCCAGGGGACCCCAGGCAAGCGCTGGCTGGCCTGAGGGGTTAAGAGTCCTGGTCCTGCCACATCCCTGCTCCAGGTCATAATCCCCTCCTGGGCAGCCAGGGGCAGCCGGAGCCCAGCAGCCACACACACGGCACAGGCAGAAGCACAGACCTGGAGTCAAGGGTAGGGGGACCAACCACTCCAGCTGGCCCAGGACTGGGGAGCTTTGCCTACGATGCAGGACTTTGCTTGGGTCCACCCAGGAGAGTCTGAGGCCAACCAGGATTGGGCGCCCGAGGCAAAAGCCCCAGGCTCAGCCCTGGTTTTGCCCCATCATGAGATGAAGGAACCATGGACTGGTGTTCTGAGTTCTCAGCAACTCAGTTTTTCCACCTGCAAAATTCGGATAATAACATGCGAGTGTCATGCTTTTCAATGCGATGATGCAGAGCAGAGTTTCTCAACTTGGCACTTGTTGACGTTTTGGACCAGACCATTCCTTGTTGTGGGGGGCTGACCCATGCGCTGCAGAACGTTTGGCAGCAGCATCCCGTCGCCTCTCCCCACTAGACGACAAGGATGTCACGATGACCAAAATGTTTCCAAACATTGCCAGAGGTCCCCATGGTTAAGAACCACAGGTGTAAACGAAAAGCCTACCCAATGCAGTGCTTGACCCACGGGTATCTCTGCACGGGGACCAGGTTGTTATTACTGTCATGAGGCCCCAAAGCTCCCCCCGGGGGCCCACAAGCCTGCGGGGCTCCCCTCCTAGCACACAGCAGCTGGCCAGCCCTGAATGATCATGGCCCTGGTGGCACCTTGGGCTTCCGGTGGGGCCCACTGCCAGGTGGCGTCATGGAAAATCACACCACAGCGGACCCTCAGGAAGGAGGCTAGATCTGCAGGAGGGGCTGCGTCCATCTGTGGGAAGCTGTCCCTCATGGCCCATTTTCCCTAGAGGGATGGGCCCAGGGACCACGGGGGGTGGGAGGGGGGAAAGGGTATCTCAGAGCCAGTGGGGAAAACGGCACTGCTTGACTTCTACCAGGGAAAGGAAAAAACCAAAGTTATCTTTGGAGAGAGGGAGGCCTTTATGTTCTATGTCAGTGTTTCCCAAACTTCTGCACATCAAAAACAACCTGGAGTACTTTCTGAAAATAGAAATTCCTGGGCTCCATCCCAGAACCATGGAATCAGAATCTCTAGGGCGGGGGTAGGAGACCAAGAAGCTGTATTTTATACAAACCCGAAGAAAGACTTACCCTGAGGCAATACTTTACGTCACAGGATCTGATTGGGGGCAGGGGGTGGCTCATTACAGCCTCGGGCCACATCAGACCTGCCCGGTTCTGTATACCACCCCGCCCCCACCCCCTCTGCCCAAGCTAAGCATGGATTTTATCTTTGTAAATGGTTGGGGGAAAATCAAAAGAAGAGGATTTTGTGACATGTAAAAATTAGGTGCAGTTCACATTTCAGTGCCTAATAGGAACTAGAGCGTCCCAGAGCCCAGCCACCCTCACTGGCTCACGGAGGTCTGTGGCCACTTCGTGCTGGCACCATAAAGGTAAACAGCTATGACAGAGACCATATGGCCTGCAAAACTTAAAATGTTTACTCTCTGGCCCTTCCCAGGGAACATTTGGCAACCCTGCTATAACTCCCTGGGCCTCGGCAGTCCAAACCCATGGCCCTCCGTGGACCCATATGTCATAACCGAGCTGTGCGTCACCCACTGGCACGACCCGCACGAGACGCAAATCCACCTGCTGTCCCCAGCCTCCTGTTCCGGGCCTTGCAAGACCCACCTCGAAGTTGGCTTGTATCCATCATCCTCCAGCGCTGTGATAGGGGAGAGTCTGTGTGACCCTCTGTGCAAGTACCAGAACGCAGGGAGCCCTAGGCTTTGTTTCATGAGCCCTCCTGTGGCAGCAGGGCAGCCCAGACCCTCGGATTTCATCCAGAAAGACCTGAACACGCCCCCATTCAGCATGTCTACACACTGGACCCACTAAGTCCTGCTCTGGACCCAGCAGTCTCCAGGAGGTGCTTATGCACACATCCATTGAAATCTTCCTCCTCTTTAGATGATAACCATCAGAATGAGCTGAAAATGCAGGTTCCAGCGCCCCTTCTCTGAGAGTCTGATGCCGCTATCAGGCCACAAGTGAGTGCATATGCCCAGCCTTCAGTGACCTGAGCCGTCAAGCAGGGGGATCACTTACCCTGAGTTCCCCCTGGTGGCCAGGGAGCCACTGTGCTAGCCCTGAAGAACAACCTACCTCTAGACTTCTTTTATGTAAAGGAGAACAATTAACATCTAACTTGTTTAAGTGAGATTTTCTGTTATGAGCAGCCACACCTATTCCTAGCCCAAACTCCAGTGTTACGGACAGGGAGACTGAGGCCTTGGAAGACATCATAACCATCCAAGGTCAGCCAACGTGAGATCAGTCTTTCTCGCTTTGCTTTCTACTGGTTTGTGATTTCTTGGGCACACAACCTTTGCATGAACGTTTTTTGCTCCTGCGCCTGCCTCCAGTGGGAGACTTAATCACTGTCCCAGGTATCTTCAGGATGTCCTCGGCAAGCAACGCAATAACCAAAATTTGATAAGCAAAGTCACTCAAAGAGTAGCCAGCTGGCATTCACCGGGCCCAGACAGGAGCCCTGGAGGACAGTCTACTGAGCCAACCAGAGCCAGGAGGGTGGATGCGGAGGGCGTAGCAGAGGGATGCCACACCCCGCGGGCAGGGCCGCGGAGGGCCATGTGGGGTCGCCCCTCTGCCCCGCCCAGACTGCCCTGCCCAAAGCAGCACCTTGGGAAACATGCGGAAGATCTCCTGGTTGATGTGGTAGATGCCGCTGGTGTCCACTTCATACTTGAGCTTCGTCCCCAGGGGGGTGTTCTTCTGGGTGGTGAAGAGGAAGGAGGGGGCATTACAGCACCTGGACAGAGTGGACCTGCCAGGCAGGAGACAGAGCGGGAGAGACAGGTGACATGGGGCAGAGCCAAGCTGCTGGAAGAACAGGGGCGTCATGGAACTGAGGCTCCTCAAGGTGATCAGGGAGCTCCGTGCTCTCCTACCCACCCCTTCCTGCACTCACCCCCCACCCCACACCCCTGCTCATGCTGTTCCTCTGCCTTCAACATGCCTCCCAGTGCCTGGGCCTCTCCTCCTTTCCTCACGCTGTCCTTGATCCCTGTGAGCTCCCAGCTGCCCACCCCACGGACTTCGCTGGCCTCTGAAGACCTGGAGCACAGACTGGATACCCTCCACTTCATCACCTACCGACTCCCTCCCCGCCTGAATGAAAGCCCCTTGATGGCAGAGACCCTGCCTCTCTGGATCCTGCCCGGTGTTAGTCACACGGGTGTGGACAGCCAGCTGCTGGCCATGGTGGGATGAATCACGCCTCACTCGGGCGCTCATCAATTTCCACTAAGCATTCTACTACTTCCTGGAAACATTGTTTCTCCAGCCTTGATGGAAATCTGGGGATAGAGAGCTCACCCTTGGGTTCCTGGCCCCTACCAGACTATAAACAAGGCATTTACCCTGTCTCAGGGGGGGAAACCCCAAGACAAAATGGTCAATGGAAGCGTGCAATTTCAATCATTTAGAAAGTGTTTTAGGAAGAGGGGTTGTCAGAAAGTGGGCTGGTGGGCTGGTGCTGGACCACTTCCTGCAGAAAAAGGAGTCTGATTTCCAAAATAGGTTCTCAGGAGTTGTTTGTTTGTTTTTAAAAAAAAAAAAAAAAAAAAAAAGCCCTGGCTTTCACTCACCAAAAAAAAAACAAACACTCAAACACAAGCTACAGAAGGGTTAAAGCTCAGATGATGCAAGCAGGCTTTACAAAAATAAAAAATAAAAAAATAAACCCTCCTAGGGAGAAGGTAGCTGCTGAGGCAGCCCCGGGAGCCGGAGACGGCAGAGTTGTCCGTCATCCCTCGGGTCAGGGCTAGTGCTCCACCTGGTCACTCCCTCTCTGAGGCCTGGTGAGGGGTCGGGCCCTGGGCCCCGTCCTCCCCTGCCCTGGGGGCCCAAAGCCCTCCACAGCTAACAAAGCAGGCCAACTTCTGCTCTCTCACATGGGGGTTTTGAGCCCACAAGGCTCCATTTCTTCCAGAAGCAGCAGTGGGTGCCAACTCCACACTGGCCTGCTCCCCCGAACACTGGCTCTAGGCACAGTCCCATGCAGCACCTAGGCAGCCCCAGGAGGGATGGGACACCTTCTCCATGGAGCCGGGATGATGACCACCACCAACGTTTGAGGAGGAGCTTTCTGGAAAATTCCCTTCCAAGGTCTGGGATGGAAACTTGGGGTTGCCACCCTGGTGTCAAGAGGCTTGGGTTCTAGTTTCTGGTCTGCTCCCACCAGCGGTGGGGCCCTGGTCAGGTGTCTTCCCCAGGCTGGACCTCAGCTTCCTTGTCTGTAGGACGCAGCCTTGGCTGGTCCACCTCTGACCCTCTATAATTCTGTGACTGTAGGTTGCCAAAGCCAGGAAGGTTATAAAATTATTTTTTATGACTTTCTCTCTTGCAAGGATTTCACTGGGGTGCTCACCTGGCCGCTGGTCACAGAGAGAGGCCTTTCCTGTGGAGTGTTGAGTTTCAGAATGTGAGTAAGGCCTCCCAGAGTGGGGGCCAGGCAGAGGCCATGGGTCAGCATTGGCCCATTTAGCTTTGCTGGTCCAGGAACTCAATCTTGTCAGCCTGCTGGAGAATACTCCATAGAGGGAGACTGACTCCCATTAACCAAGTTCATGAATGACTGATACATAAACCAGAATGCCAATGTGTCTATTTGTAGGCGGTAGGGTGGGGGAAGGCCTCAGTTACAGGGCCCCTCTCCTACAACTGGAAAGCTCATGTCTGTCTTCTAACACACCCCTTCCATGCCACCCACTTCACCGTGCCAGGCTCTTACAAGCCCGAATTAAGAATCTCATCACGGTGGGGCGCCTGGGTGGCTCAGTCGTTAAGCGTCTGCCTTCGGCTCAGGTCACGATCCCAGGGTCCTGGGATCAAGCCCCGCATCAGGCTCCCTGCTCCACGGGAGGCCTGCTTCTCCCTCTCCCTCTCCCCCTGCTTGTGTTCCCTCTCTCGCTGTGTCTCTGTCAAATAAATAAATAAAATCTTTAAAAAAAAAAAAAAAAAAGAATCTCATCACGGTTCAATGAGCTTGTGATGAGAGCAAAGGGAGGCCACCCAGTGGCCTTGAAGGTTTTTCCATTTAGAACCTAGCAAGACCTGATGTCATCTCCCTTTTCCACACCTGAAACTACTCCCCCCCAACCCCCCGCCCCCGGAAGGGTCCTGGCTTCCCCGGAGCCTCTCCCCAGGATAGTGCCGGCTGATCCCTGCTGAAGGCCCCCACACTCATCCTTGGTTTTCTTCTGCCATCTCATCTTCCTGTTGCTTCCTTATTTCCTTAGACTTATTTGTGAATCCCAGTGAGGAGACTTCTGGGCCGCTCTCAGCTCTCAGCCCAGACAACATCCTTTTGTAACTCATGGACCTCATCTAGGCTGGGTGTGGATGAGCCACACCACCAGGACGCTCAGGCCTCGGCCACCCCACCATAACACCTCTTGCTAAGAGGCAGATTTGGGGTGGCACCTGCCACATAGATCTTGGCCCTCTTCCCACCTCCCAGCACTCTGCTCAAGTTCACGTTCGACTTTTATGATGGGGGCATGTGTGGCCTTAGCCAGGAATCCGCAGTCTCATCGGGGCCTCTGGGTCGGGGCTGCTGGCACCTGCTCTTCAGGGGTTACCACGGTAGACAGCCTCATTTCTAGAAATGTGCCACTTAAAACCACGACTCGGTCTCTAGACGGGGCCGGGAACTGCACCAAACTGGAACAAATGACTTCGAAGGAAAAGACAAAATGCTGAGAGTGTCATTTGCTTTCCCCAGCCTCCCAGGCAGGATGGCCGCGTCTGATGGCTCCTTGGTACATGTGAACTCCAGCCTGACTTGCCCGCCTCCGGTTCGTGCACATCTTCCTAGAATCCCACCGATTCCACTCCGTGAGCTCCATCTGCACCACAACAATACTGGGAACTCACAGGAGTTCAGCGATGGAGAGACTCCCCTACAGTTCCCACCCATCAAAAGGAATTTGTGGACACCTGCTGACTGCTTAGCTCTCTCAGACAGGGGAACCTGAAGCTATGGCTCTTGCCTCTCTGGGAGCTTATAACCTATCACTTTGGGTGAGAAAGCAATCAGAGATGAATCTGCAGCAGGCCTCACGCATCTGGTGCAGGCTGCCCCACGAGCGGGTGGCAACGGGGGGCGGCCAGAGGAGATGCTCAGAGCGCCTTCTCGCTCAGGCCTGCTGGAGATGTGGAGCCCAGCACGGCACCGTGATGGGCTGTCGTGGAGACAACACCCCCGACCCCGCGGGGCTGCCATGAGGACAAAGGGCCGGAATGTGGGGGACAGCCGCCAGCAAGGTGCCCACCTCAGCCTGTGCACTGAGTCAGAACCTCCCCACGGCCCAGATCCCAAAGCCCAGGCGGGGCCAGCTCTGGGGAAGATGAGCCCGGGGCAGGGCCCTGCGGGATGGGGTGGCAGGAAGGAGAACAGCACCAAAGGCAGGACTGGGGAGGGCAGACAAATCACAGATACTTGAATTGGTTGGCTTCAGAGATATTCATCGCCCATCTGCACATCTGCAGACTCTTCCATCTGTCGAACAGCTCCGACTGCTTCACCCTTTGGGAGGGGAGGACAGAAGAGCACGTGAAAGGGGCCAGGCTGGACAGAGTGTCGGCATTCCCAAACCTCCCTTCCTGCTCCCCAGGTGCCACATCCTGGGGTGGTCCTTTCCATGAACGGTGTTTTATTTGGGGTATTCTGGATGCTCCGGCGTCTGGGGCCTTGCGCATTCCTAGAGATAGCCAACCGCTCTCCTGCAAGCATGCCTTCCACCTTCCTCATCGTCAGTTCTGTCAACTGAGCCACCAGCCTTAAGGGAACTCAGGAACGCTCCGAATTACAGACAAAATCCCCTGTCTGTCCGCCCATGTGCATATCTTAGGGGAGAATCTGAAGCTTTCACTGGCTTCTCAAAGAGGTCTTTGATTCTAAAAACAGGGCAAATACTCACTTAACCGTAAAGTAAACACCAGGTTCATTCTGCAGAGCTGGGTCCCCTGTGTTTTGTTGGAGGGGAAACAGTTGCTCCCAAAGAGGGCAAGCCTCCCCCACAGAAGGAATGCACACATGACTGGTGTGGGGAGGGGTGATTGCCGGAGAAGTCATACAGGATGGCAGCAAAGTGTGTAGATTTTGGAGCCAGAAGAGGAGCTGGGCCCTGGACCGAGTTCAGACACCTCCTAACTAAGGGACTTCAGACAGGGTATTTGACCTCTCGGAGTTTCATCTATATAATGAGCATAATAATAGATTATCACTCACAGTCCCAGATTTGTTAAGATTATTAAATAAAATGATAAAATAAAGGGCTAGGCATGGGAAGTGCACACGGAAAGTTCCTGAGAGAGGTAAGTTATTTTTATGGTTAAACTGCACTGCCATGAGGATGCTCGCTCACGATCCCCTGACTTTTCCCTTTTGTAAAACCCATAACCTGTCCTTACTCACTCCTAATTTTTCCCACAAGATAGTAAATACTGTGGGGTCAGGGGGTCATGCCTGAGGTCACCCCCATAAATCCAGTGCTAAGGCACACGGCCAATGTGTGGGAAATAGGTGTCGAGCATATCAATAAATTAGTGAATGAACCCATAAGTCTGAGTTCAAATAGAGTCTATAATTATTGATTGAACTCCTCTATATGGCAGGAACTGGGGATAGAGCAGAGAACAAAAGAGCTTGCTGTTCCTATGGAGCTTAAATACTAGTAAGGAGGCAAACGGAAAACAGATATGTATGCATATGACAACACAAGCACAAATGACAAAGGCAAAAATAGACAAGTGGGACCATGTCAAACTACAAAGCTTCTGTATAGCAAAGGACCACAACAGAGAGAAAAGTCAACATACAGAACGGGAGAAAGTATTTGCAGACCATATATCTGATAAGGGGTTAAAATCCAAAATAGATAAGGAACTCCTACAACTCAATAGCAGAAGACCAAATAACCTGATTTTAAAACGGGCAGAAGTGGGGCACCTGGGTGGCTCAGTCAGTTAAGCATCTGCCTTTGGCTCAGGTCATGATCCCGGGGTCCTGGGATTGAGCCCCAGATCAGGTAGTCTGCTTCTCTCTGTCCCTCTGCCCCCCACACCGCTCATGCGCTCTCTCCTCTCTCTCAAATAAATAAATAAAATCTTTTATAAAAATTAAACAAAACAAAATAAAATGGGCAGAAGACTTGACAGACATTTCTCCAAAGAATACATCTAGATGGCCAACAGGCACATGAAAAGGCACTCAACACCACTTATCATCAGGGAAAAGCAAATTGAAACTGCAACGAGATATCATCTCACACCTGTTAGGATGGCTAAAATCAAGAAAACAAAAAAGATCACCAGCATTGGCGGGGATGTGGAAAAAAGGGAAGCCTGGCACAGTGCTGGTAGGAATGCACACTGGCGTGGCCAGCATGGAAAACAGCATGGAGGTTCCTCCAAAAATTAAAAATAGAACTACCCTCTGATCCAGCAACTCCACTTCTGGGTATATATCCAAAAGAACTGCCATCAGGATGGGAAAAGAACTAGGTACACTCCCATGTTCACTGCGGCATTATTCAGTAGTAAGCAGGGTATGGAAACCAGCTAAATGTCCCCTGATGAGTGAATGGATAAAGAAAATGTGCTACAGATGTACAATGGAATACTCTTCAGCCTCTCACCAGCAGGAAATCTGCCATAGGAGACAAGCTGGACGAATCTGGAGGACATTGTGCTGCGTGAAATAAGGCGGTCATGGAAGGATGTACACAACATGATTCCACTCATGAAGCATCTAAATAGTCGATCTCAGAAAAACAGAGAGTAGAATGGTGGTTGTTGGAGGCTTTGGGAAAGAGAAAGGGGGAGCTCCTGGCTGCTCCACGATCTACTTATTCTAATGAATAAGTGCTAGAGATCCGTTGTACAACTTAGTGCTACATTTAACAATACTGGATTGTACGCTTAAGAGGGCAGATCTCGTGTCAAGTGTTATTACGCCAACTAAGAAAAAGAAAACAGATAATAATGCCATGTCAGGGAGAGGTGAGTGCTATGAAGAAAAATGAAGCAAGGTAAAGGAACTAAAAAGTGACTGTTTCAGAAGGGTAGGTCAGGGAAGGGTTCCCTGAAGAGGAGAACTTTGTACAAAGAACTGGAATGGTCGGAGTGAGCCATGTAAACATCTGGGGAAGGAGTATTCCAGGCAAAGAGAAAAGTGAGTACAAAGGCACTGGGGCAGGAACTTAGTTGGCAGGTTTAAGGAGCTGGAAGGAACCCCTCCTCCCAAGCTGATGCCTTCCTTCTGGCTTCCCCAAACCTCCCACTGTAGCCCTCACCTCTCAGGTTAATGTGACATCTGAAGAGAGGCATTACACAGCACCCCCCGCCTCACCCACTGCTTCCCTCCCCTGCTCTCTGCAACCCATAGGTCCCTAGAACAGCACCCGACATGGCCAGTGCCTCAGACACCTCCTGGAAACACAGTCCTCGCAGGACTGGAGGCCGGAGTCCCAAGTCCAACTGTCACCAGCATCTGGGTCCCATTCTCTGTGCCAATGCCTGTCATGCTCTGGACAAAAGCTGGGGCCCGAACACCCAACCTTGAATCCTGGCTCCATCCCCAACTTGCAGTGTGACCTTGGACAAGTCATTGAATCTCTCTGAGACTTGGATGCTTTATCTGTACAACGGATGTAATAACCTCTGCTCTGTTAATCTCCAGGGTTGTCAGAAAGATCAAATGAGATAATATGCATAAAAATACTTTATAAATTGCTTTACAAATGTAGAGATCACCTTTACTTTAAAGATGAGGGGTTGAGCTGGGGCACCTGGGTGGCTCAGTTGGTTAAGCAACTGCCTTCGGCTCAGGTCATGATCCTGGAGTCCCGGGATCGAGTCCGGCATCGGGCTCCCTGCTCAGCGGGGAGCCTGCTTCTCCCTCTGACCCTCCCCCCTCTCATGTGCTCTCTCTCTCTCTCTCTCTCATTCTCGCTCTCTCAAATGAATAAATAAATAAATAAGTAAATAAAATCTTTAAAGATGAGGGGTTGACCCCAGGCTCTGATCTTTCTCTGCAGACACCACTAAAATTCCAGAAGAGGAATAAAAAAGTTAATAGACCTACCAGATGAATAGAATGATGGCGGTGGGGGGAGTTCAGTGGAAGAGAGATTTCAACAAGTGTGTGGAACGAGGAGGGGGTTCATATGGAGGGGCTGACATGGCCCAGAGACAGAGTCCAACCCCACGGGACATTTTTAAAGGGGGTGGAGGGTGGGGATGGGGCATGGTGCTGAAAATGAGCATCAGCTGTAAGTCCGTATCCAGAACCATCAAACCCACCCCCACAGCAGCCAAATATTCAGTGTCCAGCAGAGGGAGGGGAGGGATTGAATCAGACTGTCAGTTCCTACAAAAAAACAAAAACAAAAACAAATCATCATTCCCAGTGAAAAGCTTTGGACATTCTAACAGCAAAAGGAATAGCATCTCCAACAATGACTCTTGAGGAAGTCCTGCTCTCCTACAGAGTTCCTATCAGCTTTTTATTGTTCTAAATTTAAATATGAATAAGATAACCAAGGATCACCTGGTCAACTGGAAGGAAACAGATGAAGACAAACCCATCAGTTAAAATATCCAAAGAGAGGGGCACCTGAGTGGCTTAGTCCGGTCCATCTGCCTTCGGCTCAGGTCATGATCCCAGGGTCCTGGGATGGAGCCCCGCATGGGGGGGGTGGGGAGGGTCCCTGCTCAGCGGGGAGTCTGCTTCTCCCTCTCCCTCTCTTCCCAGTTTGTGCTCTCTCTCTCAAATAAATAAATAAAATCTTTAAAAAAATATATCCAAAGAGAAAAATATTGGAGGAACAAAATACAACTTTAAAATAGTCTACTTAGTGTCTCCAGAGAGTCTAAAAGACATGACATCCTTAAAGATAGGAATAGATTGCTCTGAGGACAAAGAAAGAGCTCTGGGGTGGGGACAAGTTCGCTGAAAGAACTGGAAAATGAAGTCAAGGACTTTTCTCAGAAAATGGAAGCAATTGGCAGAGACAGAAAAAATGGCATCAAACAGGGAGCACTACATGAGCGATCCAGAAGGTCCGGTGTACAAACCATTAGAAGGACCAGAAAGAGGAAGTAGAGAGGAATGGAGAGAAGGAAATATTTTATTTTATTTTATTTTTAAAGATTTTATTTATGTATTTGACAGAGAGAGACAGCGAGAGAGGGAACACAAGCAGGGGGAGTGGGAGAGGGAGAAGCAGGCTTCCCGCCGAGCAGGGAGACCGATGAGGGGCTCAATCCCAGGACCCTGGGATTGTGACCTGAGCCAAAGGCAGACGCTTAATGACTGAGCCACCCAGGCGTCCTAGGCAATATTTTACAAATCCAAAAGAACGTTCAAGAATTTGGACATGAGCCCCAGATGCAGAGGTCCAACAGGTGTCTATCCTGAAGCGTATCACCCAGACATTTCAGAACTGCAGGATCCGGAAACACTCCAAAGGAAAACGTTGCCTCCAAAGGAGCAGGTGGCATCATGTTCCCATCACCCTGGACACTAGAAGGTGATGGGGGAAGTCTTCAGCGCATTCGGGGGGAAAATGATTTTCTCCTAAAATTCCAACCCCACCAAACCAACAATCAGGTATAAGGGAAGAATTAAGTCATTTAGACATAGAACTCAAAACCTGACCTCCTACCCATCATTTGGAAATGACTGGAAGATGGGTAGAAGCAAAATGAAGGCATATACAAGAAGTAGCTGTTGGTTCTCCACAAAACTGAATCCAAGCACAGAAGGCAGGGAAGGGAAGTGCCTGGGACACTGGCACCTGGCCCAGCAAGAGAGCAGCCTGTCCAGCCTGAAGCACAACAAGGATAAAGAGAGACTCTGAGGGGTAGGCTGGTTGGTGGAGAGGCAAGCAGAAACCCCAAATAGGGCATAATAGAGACAAAGAGTTCAAGAGGGAAAAGATGAGTAGAAGCTCCAGAAAAAAAGGGGGGGATGTACGAGAAAGGAAGGAGAATCACTATTTTCTGTTCTTTAAATTTTAGAGTCAATCTAGAGAGGAAACCCCCAAAAAAGGCTCGTTATGGGTACCAATAGAATGACCTTTTAAAGGTAAATACACGGACGACTGGAACCAATACATAAGGATGATTTTCATAGCCCCACCTTACAAAGTACAGGCTCAAGAGCTACTGCCAGTATTTGGTAGAACCAGAAATAAGTTACTCAGGCAATCTATAGACAGAAGAACTAAAAATAGCATTATCCCCCAACCCAGAAGAGTGGGGAAGGGGTGGGGGCGGCATAAGGGGGCTGAATCCTCACCCACCAAGGCAGGACGTCAGTGCATGCCACAGTAAGTTGAGAAATAACAGCAGGTGCGTGTTACTGAGAGGTGCGGAGGTAATGACCAGAAGAAACAGCCAGAGTCCAAAGGAGCAGGCTGCAGGGCGAAGGTGTGGGGCAGGGGACTGTGGCTTTTTATTACTACCAGCTTCTCGATCCTACTTGATTTTTCCTGCCATGTGCACGAGATGGTGAAGATAAGGAGGTGATCGTGACCATCTCTGTTCTTTCTCCCCCTTTCCTCCGCTGGCCTCCTCTGTTTCCACCCAGCTCTCCTGTATGTGCCCTGCCCACGTCCTGAGCCCGTGCAGGCTCACCCTCGGGGGCTCAGAGACGCCTGGGCACGAAGGGGCCTCCCAACCTCTGTTCCTGGGTGCAGCGCAGGCCTCCCTACCCCAGAAAGATGGGGAAGGGGTGGCAGGAGAGGCCCCAGGGTGACGTCCCAGACACCACCCCCACCTGGTGGCAGGAACTGGCTCCAAAACCAAGCGACTCTAGAATGACTACCTTCAAATAAATAATTTGTACAAGTATTAGTGACGATGCCTTTCATAATAAATCAGCACAGAGTAACTCCTCCTGCATCTGCCATCGTCAGGGACCAAGGTCTTCTCCACGTGGGAATTTTCCGGCTGACTGGTTTCTACCAGTGTTTGGAGCAATTTTGGATCAGAATCATTCCCAGATGAATCACACCCCTCCCTGTCTCCTCAGAATGCCGGCTGACATTCTTACGCGTTAAAGGCCTCACAGCCCAGCCGCGCAGCCCCCTCCACACACAGATGGCGACTTAACCTTCCCCCGATGACTCAGAGTCTCCACTGGGAGCCGCGCTCATGGCCCTGGGCCAGAGCACAGTGAGGCCCGCAGGTACCCGGATGATGCTAGGACCATTCGAGTCCAAGGCTGGCCTCCGGGATCTCTGATGTCAGCCCTGGAGGTCCCACCGAGCTTCAGGTTGCAGGCCCAGGAAAGGAGACGCCAGCCTCATGCCTGTGCCCCGCAAAGAGCCTCCGCCTTTCCTCTCCTCTCACAGCCCCAGGGCCACCAGGGCCCAGACTCCCGGGGTGTGGGGACCATGCAGAGGTGAAGGACACAGGGCGGTGCAAGGCCCAGGCGTCACCAGCTGGGACACCTGCTCCGCTCAGGAGACTAGAGCGGGTGCCGCAAGGCAGAGAGGAGAGCTCAAGCCTAACGTGCAGAGCACCAAACATGTGTCCCTGACGAGGGACAAAGGTGGGCACCGATCACGGGAAAGGTGAGGTTCCTCACCCCACCCCACAATGTTGTGATGCAGGGCCTGGGTGGAAGCTGGGATAGGGACTGTTAGGGGCTGAATCGTCTCTCCCTCAAAACTCCTATGCTGCGATCCTAACCTCCAAGATCTCAGAATGTGACTCTTTGGAGACAAGGTCTTTAAGGAGGTGGTTAAGCTGAAATGAGGCCATTAGGGTGGGCCCGTATCCAGTATGACGGATGTCCTTATTAGAAGAGGAAACGAGGACACAGGTCCAGAAGGAAGTCCATGTGAAGACAGAGGGAGAAGGCGGCCATCGGCAAGCCACGCAGAGAGGCCTCCGCAGCCAACCCTGCCGGCACCTCGATCTCAGACTTCCCGCTGCCGGAGCTGTGGGATCTACCAAAGTTCCATTGTTTCGGCCCCCGGCCTGTGGTGCTTGGCTATGGAGGCTCTCGCCAACTCACAGAGGGGCTAACGCAAACACAGAGGCAGTGCATGGCTAGAGGAATGCGAAGTCACCGAGAAGGATGGCCCACTTATGGGGTCTCTCAGATCTTCGGGTCTAGACTCTGAGGTGACCATGAAGAAACTATCTGCATTTTATAATTTAAAACGAGTTTATTTACCTTTGAAGACACTAAGGTATGCTGTTAACAAGGAAGCCCTGCCTTTCCAGAATGGCCCATTTAAGGGCCTGAGGTCTTTGAATTCCAGGAAAAGACAAAGGATCTCTGCTCAGGAGCTGATGAATTTGGCTCGTGCCTGAGGTCCGGACGGCCATGTTTGCCACTAAATCCCAACTCCTCACCGATCACATCACACACACGCCACTGCCACCTGCTTAAAGCCTTCCCACGGGTTCCCGTGGCCCTCAGACAGTGACAGAATCTGAATCCCGGTCCACACTGCATGGCCTCACCAGGTCGGGCCCCCGTCTGCCCCTTCAGCAACATGGCTCCTGTGTCCCCCCCACACACACACACACTGGCATTCAAGCTGCCCTGACCCTTCAGAGCGGGGACACAGCAGGCTTCTTCCCGGCACAGGGCCTTTGCACAGACTGTTCCCTCAGTCTGGAACGTTCTGGAACCTGGCCTACTTCCCTCCTACCTCCTTTCCAACAGGAGCGCCAGGATCCCTTCCTCAGAGAAGCTTTGCCTGACAACACCCTCCCCGCCCCAGCCCAAGTCCAGTTCCCTGCCATCCCCTTGTGTCCCTAGGGTAAGTAGGTATTACTGGGCTGTGAGCTCCATGAGGGCGGGGACCACGGTGCACTGTGTGTGCTCAGCGCAGGGCTGGGTGGGGTCGATGGGAGGGTGACCTGCCTCCCGTGTTTACCTCTAGAGAGGGTACAGAGCCCTTTGGTTAGTTCAGGGACCATAACGCAGCTAGCCCCAGCTGGACACGTCCTGGGAGCTTCCCTGCAGCTACTAAACTTCTGGATTCTGAATGACAGCCCCGAAAACCTGCTGCAGCTACTGCCCCTGGGGGTGGGTCCAGCAGGGGAAGAAAAGGGAGGGAGGCTTATGAACATTGACAGAGCACCTATTATGTGTGCTACTGTGGTCATGGATTGCAGGGCTATCTGCTCTCACATACCTTATTTCAACCAGTCTTGTGGTGACCCATAAGAGCTAGGCAATAGTGTCCCAATTTTTATAGGTAAGGAAAGGCTCAGAGAGGTTAAGTAATTTGTATAAAGATGCAGAGCTGGTAAGATCCCAGGTCTGCCAGCCCCCAGGCCCATGCTCCGTCTATGACCCACACTGCATGGCAATCCTGTCAAATGGCAAAAGGCGCAGCGGCTCCTGCCTGGGGGCCACAGACCGTGATCGCAGGATTGTGTCGGGGGCCCATGAGTCCACAAGAGCCCCCAATACCACCTGAGTCTGAATAAACTACAGTCCTTCCACATCCAGATAGGACTGTTTTCAAATACATATGAATTTTACTTGAAACCAAATGCCATGATGAGCACAACAACATTCCTCTCAGCGGGTGACGAATTCGTGGTGGTCCCATGTGGGAGAGAAGGCTGGCGGAAGCTCCCACTCACTGAAATGTGCAGCGTGTACTGTGCTTTTTCTCCCATAGGTTGTAAAAGAGCCGTAGGTGTTGTACTGTTGAGTGAGGAGCAGAAAGTACAGTTCTTTTGTGATTTGTGAAAAAAATAAATAAATAAAGCACATCCGTGCACAGGTGCTGGTTGATGCAGACTCTCTGGGGAGATGCACAAGGACACCTGGGGTGCCTCTGAGGAGGACCGAGGGGCTGTGAGGAGAATTTTCACTATATGCCTTTTTGTACCACTTGAATGCTGTATCATTTAAATAATTAAAAAGTTTTTAATCTAATGACTATAAAATGTTGAAAAGGCAATAGCAAGAGGGCACTGCTTAACCCTCCACTCGGAGTCCTGAATTTCAGGTAAGATGCTCCCGTGCTCTCTTTGGCTTCCGTACAGGAGGACCCCAGGGACAATGTCTCGGAGACTGGTAATTGAGACAGGGACTGAATCCCCTGAGTCACCAGAGGTGACCTTGCAAACTTGGCCTTTTTTCATAGAATGCACAATTATCCCTGCTCTCCAAATGCCAGAGGCCCGGGGGAAGGAGATCTTATTCTCGCTCTGTGGGGTCCATGCCCCCACCGCCCACCTCCCCCCTACCCCCGGGGTCCTGCCTGTCATCCTCGCTCTGTGGGGTCCTGCTCCATCCCACGTGCCCACCACCCACCCTGGCCACACTCACATGGACAGCACCTTCACTTCCAAGATCTCGTGCCTCAGCTCCAGGCATCTCGTGGAGTTATATTCAAACGGGCCCTCGTAAAATTCAAAGTACCTGGGAACCAACAGGGACAGAGGTTACTACGCGAAGAAGCCAGCCACACTTTGGCGGGGGGGGACTGTGGGGCTCTTGGTGGGGGCGGGTTGATCCTGGTCAAATTAACAGAGCACACCAGCCCCACCCCAGCAGATGGTGGGGGCCCCCAGGACTGCTGGGGCCCTCTGGCTTGATCACTGGGTGGTTGATTACTCCCAGCACCCCACTACCCCAGGAGTGTAAGCCTTTACAAGGCATGAACTCATCTCAGCAGATCATGACATTCAGAAGCAGGTTTGGTTCCAAATTAGTGGCTGCAAAGAGAAGGGAAGGGGGAGGATGCCCCGGGCATGGTCTCATTCTTGAGCTTCTGGTGAGGCAGCACTTTCAACCCTTTCCTACAAGAGCACAGTTAAGATCTGCTGCTTTTTCTACAAGTCAGTAGCTCACTTGACCCTCATGCTCCTGCTGTGCCTAAGTGAGGCTGACATTTCTTTCTCCCCATTTGGCAGCTGAGAAAGCTGAGGCTAAGGAGGTAGAGCTCAGGTCCCATGAGCAGTAGGACCAGGCCAAGCTTGAGCTGGGTCCCACCACAGGGGAGCCCAAGCCCTTCCCAACACCGGCTGGCTCCACGCATGCCAGAGCCACCTCAGGGTCCCTTCTGCAGCTCCACGCAGAATCCAGTTCCAGCCAGTGCTTGCTGAGCCCTTACCTCGGGCCAAGTGCTTGCTGTGGATGCATCCACTTTTCATCTTTAGAACTAGCCTACGAGGTAAGTGATCAGCATGAGCATCTGGAATGAGCTCTGGAGTTCACTCACTCGCCCAGAGCCACATAGATGGTAGATGGCAAAGCTGGGACATGAGCTTGCACATTGACTCGAGGCTACTCTTGTCCACTCACCTATAAGGACAGCTGGTGTCCCTGAAAAGGGCCCTGTGGCCTCCCACAGCCACTGGGTGAGGAGACCTTTAAAGCTGACCCCTCTCACACCTGAAGTTCCCACCAGCCCAGAGAGGGAAGAGTACCTGCCTGATGGCTGGTGGGTGGAGGGTTCCCACGGACATAAAACATAGCTGTTCACTGCTGAGCTCAGCCACAGAGGCAGGATGGGGCCTGGCCTCGCAGGCTCTCTCTCTGGAGGTTGCTCAGAAAAGGCTGGGGGATTGGATCCTGGACTGCTCAACACCAGAGAATCCAGAAGCCTGCAGGGTTGAGCCACTCTAAATGTGGGGTCGGTGTCCTGGTGACAGGTGGCTCTGGCGAATCAGAAGTGGGAGTGGTGCCCCAGGGCTGCTCCTGGGCCCTGTGGGCCGTGGCTGAGGATTTAAAATAAAATCATTCCTCGAGCATCTCCCAGAAACCTTCCCGACACGTGGGGGTGGTTACTTCCCATGTGTTCTCACATGCCTCATTTCTGTGTCATGGATGTGCTGCTTTACACACAGAAAGGCATTTTACCCAATAAAGTGGCTTCTTCTTAAAATACCTGTATTTAAATAACTTCTGTAGATAGTATCATATTTAACTCTTTAAATTATATATTTTAAAATATTTGTTCTTAATCTTTATATAATTTAATGGTGAAGTGTTAGTCATATTTTTCAGTACTTTTAAGTAATATTTTTAAATATTAAAACATTTTATACAATAAATTGGCTCCTATTGACAAAATGAAATTGGCTCCTTGTTTTCATGTCATGAAAGAATTGAAGCAGAATTCCTAAGAACTAGGCATTGTGGATTCCCAAAATATCACACTCACCTTTTTCTGTTTCCCCGTGACTTGGAACTCCTTTGTCTGTCTTTCTCATCTGGCAAACCCAAATTGATCCTTCAGTACCCAGCTCAAATGCCCCCACTTCCGCGAAGCCTTCTCTGACCCTCACTCCTGGGGTCCCTCTTACTTTGTCTCTTAATTAAAAGCAAATATAACATTTTTTAAATCAATATATAATGCATTATTTGTTTCAGGGGTACAGGTCTGTGATTCATCAGTCTTACACAATTCACAGCGCTCACCATAGCACATACCCTCCCCAATGTCCATCACCCAGCCACCCCATCCCTCCCAACCCCTCCACTCCAGCAACCCTCAGTTTGTTTCCTGAGATTAAGAGTCTCTTATGGTTTGTCTCCCTCTCTGGTTTCGTCTTGTTTCATTTTTCCCTCCCTTCCCCTATGATCCTCTGTCTTGTTTCTCACATTCCTCATTATCAGTGAGATCATATGATACTTGTCTTTGATTTACTTATTTCACTTAGCATAATACCCTCTAGTTCCATCCACGTCGTTAATTAGAGCAAATAACATTGTATTTTAACAGTCTGTTTATGTATCTGTTTTCCCTTCCAGACGGTGTTGTGAATATCTCAAACACCAGGACTCTGTCTGTGTTACCTCTGTACATTTTGTACTACAGATGCTGGTAAGCTAAAAACTACATTTCCCAGACTCCCTTGCAGCTAGGGTGCAGATGCAATTTAGGTTCAACCAATCAGAAGCGTTTACATGAGACTGATTCAGAGCTGTGTTGTAGGGTTATAGGTAAAGAATGACGAGGCTCCAGGCACTGTTTTGCTGGTACCGAATGTGGCAGAAGTGGCATGGCTCTTGGAAACTGCAGTGGTAGCAGTACCCTCATGATTATATTTCTATGTAAATATATTACATTTATTATATGTTTATTATTATATATTATATATAAACTGCAGTGGCACCACACCCTCATATTATATTTATATATAAATATATTTATTATTATTATATATTATATTCTTTCCCCTAAATAAATCCCTTTCTGCTTTCACTAGCTCAATGGATTCAGTTACCTACAATTAAGAACAAGGGATCAGCATGAGGTCACCAGAAAAGTCCATGACCTTGGCTGTAACTCACATCATTTTCCAGTCACACAACAATAAGTGAGGTCTGGTGTCTTATCACAAAGATCATTTGCAACCAGAGCCATTGGCACTAAGTCCTTTGGAATCAACTGGGTCATGTGAATCCATGATCTCAGGCTGCTACAAAGAAAAGCTCCAGATTCATATGGTGCAGGAGTTATTTAGGAGAGACTTACCCCAGTGGTCTCAGGGGGCTGGGAGTCTTGCAGACACATCTTTGTTATGCCGCTAAGCCAGCTGTGTGACTTTGGTCAATCGCTTGCCTGCTCTGGGCCTCTTCTTTCTCCTCCTTAAAATAATCTGTTTGAACTACGTGATAGCCAAGGGCCCACGCAGCACTACAATATGATCTCTCAGTGTTTCCCACTCACTAACCAAGCCAGAATATGACTGTGGATGGATGATCCACAAAGACGAGGAAGAAACTCGCAAAGACCAGGCAGCACTCCCCTGCCATCAGCCAGCCTCTCCAATGTCTCCATAAGGCCCTCCCCGCCTTACCTCTGGCAGCCTCCACTCGGTCTCCCTCTCTCCTGAAACCCCAACCTCACCCATACAGGGAACTGGGAGGTACAGTGATTCCAAATGCTCTCGTGCCGTGTGTTTGGTGGCTATTCGGTGGACAGGCTTTCAGAACGGGGTCACAGTCCTTCCCTGCCCCCCATAAGCCACCCTAGGCCCATCACTTTTGTGAGCCTTACTTTCTTTATCTGTAAAATCCACACACAAAAAAAGTGCAGTTCATGTGTGACAGGGTTGAGAGAAGATATTGATGAGAAATTTGGGGAAAGTCCCAGGACAGTGCCCGGCACACAGCAAGTGCCCAAGAAATGTTCACTCCTTTCTTGCTCCTTTCTCCTGCCATTAAAGGGCAGGAGTTGCCCGAGAGTCAGCAACTTGCTTATGGCTCCTCGGCTGGCTGATGGCAGAGCTGGGTCAGGCACAAGTACCCTCAGGAAGTTTCTCTGCCATCTGGATCGGCTGGCATCCTTCTTCCACGGCTACCAGTAAGCCCCTCCCCGCCACCCTGCAGCTAGAGCCCGTGCTGCGTTCTGCTTGGACACGGGGATGTCCCTGATCACCTGTCTCTGCTGCAGACTCCATGGATAAACTGTGTTTCTGAAGCTTTAACATCCGGGCCTTGTTGACCCTGGGGAGACTGTCCCTCCCAGGGCTAGCCAATTCCTTGAGATAGTAACCACCTGTGAGCACCTTTCTTATGCAAACAAACCAATCCAGAGCTCACAACCCCCCCACCACCACCTCCCACGGTGGGGGGCCTCTTTCCCCCTGCCCTGATCATCCCAGGGCCAGGTCCCAGACAACTAGGGGCAGCCTTTATGCCCCGGAGTCCAGTGAAATTATTCAGACTGATGACTCCCAAGCCTGTGTACCTGTCTCACCTGTTTCTTCCACAGAAACCACAGTAGAGGCTCTTGCCCACTTTTTCCCGTCCCTCCCTCTGCTCCTGACCCACCCCCACCCCCCACCCCGCCCGCCTCCGGTGCTCTCCTATGGTGTGGCGTGCCTCCTGTCTCTGGGCATCTGTGGGTATAAAACCCTCTTCCTTCCTGGCAATGACTCCCATGTCTGTGTGTCTCACAAGGCACGACTATGACAAAGCCCAGCCACCCTGAAAACACTCCACGTGGTACCTCAGGCAAGCCATCAAAACCATGCCCTGCCTAGGGCGAAAGCCCTCGTTTTCCCCGCTGAAAATGGAGCTAATAGCTCTTGCTGACGTCCCCATCCGACCTGGGCTCTGCTTCTCTGGGCTGCCCTGCTCCGTCCCAGTCTCTGAAGATAATCTAACTTGGGGAAATGAGATTGTAACAAGCGCCGCCAAGCGTGCCCCCGCATTCTGCTTCTGAAAGGACACCTGCATCCTGCATTCTGGGAAAAGCCGTGGTAATCCTTGTTTGGCCTGGACACAGACTTCTATGCAGATATCAAAAATGAGGCTTCCAGTTTCTTTGTGGAATGACATGGGAAGATGCTCGCATGACATAACTTGCTGAGTGGAAAATGCAAGTTACAACACTGTGATCTCCCAAAGGAATGGGACATACATATGTGAATGCCCAGGGCAAAGGGAAAGGCCGTAACAAGGCA